AGAGATGTCCTGGAGCAAATTGTTGTAAGTTCTAGTGGAGTAGAGAGTGAATTCAAGTGGTTTAATTTCTATCTTTTACTCTTTTATAGTAATTTTTTTTGTGCGATTTGGCTTCGTGATTTTTTCCCATTCTCTGGTTTTTTCACGTTGAATCTTGGTGTGTTTTTCGGAATTACCTTTTTGTGCGTTTCTGTTTGATATTTTGTTCCATATTTCTCAAATTTGTGTGATCCTTTTTTCTGTAGAGTGGTTTTGATCGTCAATCAATCGAAGCCCTTTGTTTCCCATCCCAACAAATAAACCCATGTTTTTTAGATGGTAACAAACTTGAGCTCTAAAATAGCACAACTCCATCGAGTTAGGTTCATCTACACCCCTGATATTTGTAAATATCAAACATTTCATCTAATCAAATTGATAAAGCAATTTCATTAACAACTCAAATTTTATTTTTTAAAATTTATTTAATGGCTAAAACAAATGACCAGAAACAAAATCATAAGCATCATCAATCTTAATAAAGAGTCATTTGGTTTATTCCACATATGAAACGTTTAGGAAAATGATAACTTGATTTTTAATAGTTTTGCATGTGAAAATAAAGTTATAAAATATGAAAATAACTGCAATTAAATTTGTCTCTGCCTTGAAGCAAACAAATGAGCTCTAATTGGTATTAAATTGTTTAAATGAATAGCATTGAACCAAATGGATAGGTGACACTATCATTGGGACCGCAAAAGTTCCTATTTAGGGTCCGTTTGAGACAGCTTATATGTGCAGGCGGCGTTTTTAAAACACCGTCATACTGTTTGGTTCACTCGTTTCACTAGATTATCCGAAACTGTGTTTGGGTTTCTACACCGCGTTTCAGGATAAACTGCTTATCCTGAAATGCACAAACTGCCCCAAACTTATCTTTAATCAAACATTTATTTCAAATCAATATGCATTTCAAAGCAACTTCCGTTTAGGGCAGCTTAAAATAACAGGCGCGTTTTTGATAACCCAGACCTTCTGTTTGTTTTAGGCGCGTTTTTAAAACCGCTGTTCCGAATTTGTGAATAGTATCGCCCGCGGGGTCATCCCCGCGTCCTACCGAATTACTCGGCTGCCCTGCCATAAGGAATCGCGATCGAGCTCGGAATGCGGAAGAGAATTGCTCGCAGCGTAGTAGTACTGGTAGGTGTCGGGGCTCCCCGGCGATTTTCTTAACGTGATGAGTAGCCCTCTCGATTTCGAGGTGGAGGAACTGCATCTCAATACTCCACCCGTTGTAAAGGTTTTGTTTAACCTTAGCTTTCGGTCTGCCATTGTCGCTCCTTTCCCATCTCTCTCTTACGTGGGTTTCTTGACAGTACCAGAGAACTGGACACTAGCTTGAGTCTAGGGCCAATTCCCGCACCTTCCTGTAAATTACAAGAAGTTAGGATTCTTGCTTTCGTTTCTCTCATGGAGTTGTTTAGTACTTACAGTCAAACGAATTTCATATGATTGGCTGCACATAGCTACTGAAACTTGATGCTGGCATTTGGTTATTGTCATCACATTGCTATCAACGGATGTTTAATTTGTTAAGCTTATTTTTTTGTCAAATATGGTTTTAATTTCAATTTGTTTCAAAATGGGTGACATATACTACAGCCGTCATTTATGAAAGAAGTTGTAAATGGGCCTTGCCTCTAGGTTAGACTACCCAAATCTATGGTGGCTTAGGTTCTTAGTAGTTGCACTTAATGGCAGTGAAATCTTTGGTTGATGGTCCAGAATATAACATATCATTGGTGCATCATAAGGATATCGTTGATTATGAATGAAACTTTCAACAAGTGGATTTGCATGAACAACAAGTGGATTTGCATGAATAATTGTGAGAATATTAATTGCCTCTTGTTAAAGATGTGACAAAATAGGTGGCACTGCCTGCAATCTTTACATCTGTTGTACTCAATAGGAGTGTTTGAAGACCAAGTACTCATGAACAATGAAGTGTGGGGGGAGGGGCAATTTTGAGAAGTTTTGATCTTCTCAGATGATTTGTGCATGTGCATGAACAAATGCATGCTAGCATAATGGAAGCCATTAGTAGGTTGCTTGTTCATGGTCAACTCGAGTGAATTTTTAGAATATTGCGAAAGGTAGTGTTGATTGCCACCCCTACAGCGGGCTTCTCATAAACATGCCTGAAGTGTCAAATTAGGCTATATTTTGCTACTTTTAGGTGGGCTTGAGATGTGTACATGAGATAAAATTTGTGCTTGATCAAATAGAGATTTTCATGATCTTAATATTTCTTTCTTATTTTTGTTGTCATTATTGATGAGTTCAAATATATATTTCTTGTTTAGACATCGTCTCTGATTAGCTTCTTGATATGGAACAATATTTGATGTTGAGGCGTTACAGTATTGTTACAAACAACAATACTGTGCAGTGCCAGAATGACCATTTATCAAAAAAAAAAAAAACTGCAAATCAAATATTTTTCAAACGCACAAACCAAACAGCTAAACAACTTATCCAGAGGAGGGACAAAATTGTCATTTATCAAGAAACAACTGCAAATCAGTTGTTTTCCAAACTCACAAACCAAACAGTCAAACAATTTATCAGGATAAGCTGTTTATCTGAATAAGCTGGATAAGCCGCAGCTGTCCCAAACAGACCCTAAGAGGAACTCAATAACTACTATTTTTTACTCTAAGTTAATCAAATTATAGACAGTGCACTCTAAACCATGTAGATGTTGCATATAAGATTTAATTTGGCATCATAAAACATATATATCAAGGCTATGTAGATTAAAAAATAAGGTGCCCACAATTCTATTTGATTTGAATGTGACTCAGCCTGACCCGAATCGCCCAGCTGCCCTCTATCTCCTGTGGCCATAGGCCATACATGAAGAGATAATGGAAGAGATGTAAGTTGTTTCTCTTCTGTGATGGATGGTTAGGGGGCCATTAAAACAGCGTTGGGTTAGTCTCACGAAGAGCGATGCATTGGTAGACTCCATTCACTCTATTAACCAATCATTATCGTAAATTTCTTTGTAAAATGATGAGACATTATCATCATCTTCTAACATCCCAAATTTATAAAGAACAAACTCTCTCAAAAATATTATGTCCAATATGATTATCAAAACTTTCATTTGTGAGCACCAATGCACTCATGGCTTTGAGATTGACAAGATGATATATTCATATTGTCAATCAGATATAGTAGTTGCCAATAAATCACCATTGGTGGATTGTGTAGCCTTCTACTTGAGTCTATGCAAGTTTGGGCGGACCAACTTGGTTAGTTTAAAGATATTATCATTCAATTATAAACATGTGAGGGTATGATCAACATCATCTATTATTGAAAAATAGAAGGAATACTTTTTATAAGGCTAGAATGTCTACACAAAAAATATAAGGGGCATTTACATAACATATCATGTATTTACATATCTAACAACTAAACATTCATATTTATATGCATACCACTCAAACCTTTAACATGACATAAAAAATACCACCATTCCTATCTTTTTAGAAGTAAAATAAACCTTTTCAACAACTATTTTGAGTGCAAGGATTTTAACACCCGTTGTTGGAACATCTTCATCAATGACAAACAAGTGCGATGCCTAAAACATTATTGTTGGGGCAGCCTCAATCTCTAATGGAACTTTAAACACTCTCAAGTCACATAAATAAGTTGTCCTGCCCCTTTAAGAAGCAAGATGATAACTTCTTATTACACTTAGTAGACTAAAATGTCGAAAGGACAATCAAATAAAATTATCAGATATGATGGTCATCAGATGATAGCTTCTTATTACGCTTACTAGACATAAAAGTGTGACTTATCCGCCAGAACGAATCCTTAGAAAAATGATGATCATCTCTTTTCTAACTTAATGTAGTAAATCAACAAAAATAAAGTTGATAGCGCAAAGAAGACCTTCCAATCTTCTTTTCAATATTGATAAGGTTATTAATAAAACATGTAAAAAATTCAATTCAAAACTAAAATCAAATGGTTTCACTTGATATCATATTTTTACCATAAAAAATAGAACCACTTAAAATAGTCATCATTTGACCAATAAAATTGTCTTTAACATGATGCTAGCTGAAGCAAAGCCTACCATAAAATCATTATAACTGATCTCTTTAAAGCCTTTAAAACTCAAACAGCAAAACCTTAAAAAATGTATAGAGTTGGCATAACTATAATTCGCTAGCTCATGCCACAGCTTAGCATGCCATGCAGTTTTTTATTGCATCAAGGCCGATCTCACTTTTACATAAAATAATACTAACATCTAGATAACATTGAATAAAATAATCCCTCGTATTTTCACAAATAGTTTGGAAAAAGATTATTGTCAAATATTGGAAATCCGAATTATAGATTCAGATACATGCTCCTTTGATTGCCTGATGTCTGAAAACGATGTTAAGAAAAATCTTCAAAAATGATGAATTTTGTTAGATGACATCATTGGTTGGTTGAAATTAGACTTATTTAGCAAGTTTAGGGCTGTTTGGGGTAGCTTATAAGTGTGGGGGCATTTTTGAAAACGCAGCGGTACCATTTGAATCGCGAGTTTTGCCCTTTTATCCGAAAACACGGTTCTATTTTTACACTAAACGCAGACCGCGGGTCGCACCCCACGGTCGAACCCCACGGTCGACCTGCGGGCCACGTTTCAGGATAAGAAGTTCCTTATCCTGAAACATTGTGAAACGCACAAGCTGCCCCAAACGCACTCTTAATCTTTATAAACACCTCATGGTCTTTAAAAAATAAAAATTTGGAAACATAATCATCAATTTCTGAAACATATTTGTATGACCAGGCAACCAAACAACCCCTAAGCACAAAATGAAAACGGGCTGGTGAATAGAAAACTCGATCCAGCGCTAAATTTTATACTCCACAAAACTCCACAAAAATCCTGAAATACCTACGAATAAAAAATCCTCCATAAGGAAAAAACTCACCCTTCGAAATTGAAAGCCGCCATGCTCCTTCGATCTGCCTTCAGAATGCGCTTCCCCATCAGGAACTTCCAAGACAGCGCAAGGAGAGGGTGAGTGGATTGACTTCCAGGCGAAGAATCCAGCAAGCGTGGCCGAGAGGAACATGAGAATGAAGCGGAGGGGACACATCGCCGGAGGTTTCGCCGATCCCTGCCGCCGGATTAAGATGAGATGAAGAAGAGCTGGTGGACGACCAGGAAGGATAAATAAAAAATAATTGGGACAATTATTGCATCCAAATAAAAAAAATATTTTTTTCTAAAGGCATGACCCGCCCTGAATACGTCGAACTTGCTTGAAATGCTTCGAAAAAGGCATAATAATTACAATACATATTTATAAGATTAAATATGTAAATTACGATTAAATAAAATAATTTAAATTATAAAATCATCATATTTAAAAAAATAAAATTCTATAAACCATAATATATTACTATTAGCAGATTACTTATAAAAATAAATATATTACGTACAAACCACCCAATGTTTTCGTTTTACCTGGCCCGAAAAAGCCCGATATTTCAAAGAATAAATATTTTTTTTTCGGAAGCTGTTTTATTTTGATGTTTTTGGTGACGATAAAATCACAATAAAATCGTAATAACACCAGCGCCGAAAACACACCAATACAAAGTGGGTTACCTCAAGAAACACTCGAATAAAGTCGTAATAACAGTCGAATAACATATCAACAACACCACAATAATAGTGGATTACTTCAAGTAACACGTGAATAATATCGCAATAATACTCGAATAGCACATCAATAACGTTGCAATAACACATCAATAACTCCACAATAACACATCAATAACAGATCAATATTATTGATATGTTATTTGAGTATAATTAATTAAAATTTTTTAAATAAAAAACTATAATATTTTAAAATTTAAATCCTATATAAAATAATATATAACAAATTATTATTAATAATAAAATTATCATATTTTAAAAAAATTAAATAGAATTAATTGTATTATATATCATATTATTAATAATAATAAATTACTACTAGTCTATCCAACTTGAATCAGCCCGATGCTTCGACTTAACGGCATGTTATCAGCGGCAACAGTTTTATTTAGTGTTATTTGAGTAAATTTGAAGTATTATTGTGATATTATTGTTGTGTTATTATTACTGAAAACACACAAATAAAATGATTGCTTCAGAAAACATGTCGTTAGTATTACCTAGGTAATATGTATCGTCCCCTAGGCCCGACTGACATGTGTCAGCAGCTCGTGGCACGATCCCTGTCATGCATGTCGGCTAACATGACATTCACCATGTTAGCAGCGCTGAGGCACCATTAATTAGTGCTTATGTGTCATGCCAAACAATAAATTTTGGTACATGTCGAGATACGATGGGAATAGTAGTTGGTCAACTAATGTGGTACATTCCATGCCCTTAGTGTTGTGGCCTAGCAATACGGTATCAAACCAACTTTTTTTTTCCTTTAAAAGGGATAACTTGAGGCTGCTTAAGGGTTGAAAATTTTCTCTTCTCCTTTCAACTCCCTTAGAGTTGGAAAATATTTACGTGCTTCATATGCACAAAGAACTGCGTGCATAATCCGTTTATTTGTGAGGTATTAGAGGGTTATATCGGTGTTATTAGGGTTAATACCCCTAATAACCTCACAAAACCTTCGAATGACAACAAAAAATATGAGCGCGAATCACAGAAGGTATTGATAGATTATTGAGAAGTTATTGAAATGTTATTGAGGTTAATACCACCAATAACCTTTCAATAACCCCCAATAACTGAGTTATTGGAAGGTTATTAGTGGCAGTCGCATGCAGTTCTGCGTGCGTGCGTATGACGTACGTAAATAGCGCTCCTTAGAGTGACCCGAGAGTGCTTGGAGTGTGCGAGCTTCCCTCCATATTATTGTAATCTCCTTCCCCTAGGGCTGGATTTTTGGAATCCAAGCCGACCTCTTACCTCCTTGAGCACTAAGAGTTTTCCTTTGGTGAGCCTCTCCCTCCTTGATTTAGGTGAGTAGGGTTGTCAAAACTGCTCGTTGTTCGCGAACAGTTCGCCTAATTAAGAAGCTCGTGTTCGGCTCGTTAATTTTGTTCAATAAGTTAACGAGCCGAACACGAACAAAGATGTGTTCGTTCGTGTTCGGCTCGTTTTGGCTCTAAATACTACTCATCAAGGCTTTTGTTATCAGAATGTTTTATTAATGAATGTAATCCACAGAGTCCACTAAATAAATAAAGTATCATAGTCAGACCATTACTAATCTTGCAACGGGCCATGTTCGGCAAAACCGGCCCATTTGCATGAAACCTCTGGCAACATACTCTTAGGACGTGTTCTCTCAAGTTGATAAAAGGGAAAATAAATCGATAAGAATGTGTTGAAATATTTTTATCAAAATGATACTAACTTTATCATAAGTAGTTTCATTTTCATTTTCATGGCTATTCTAACAAATATCTTCATTATCAAACAATTAAATTAAATTTAAGGAATAAATAAATTATTAGACTAGCCAAATTTAAGGAATTTTATTTTGCATATGAAAATGAACTAACCGCCGGAAAGAAATTTTGTTTTCTTTTGCCTATTCTGTGCATATTCGTTGTGTACATTCTCGAAAATTTTGCGTACGTAGCAATATTTACATATCTCACACCTAAACTTGTTTTTTTTACATACAGAGCACTTTGGTGCTTTAAACAGTTGCATGGAAATGTGTGTGTCACTTTTAAAATGCGGTAACATTACTACATTTGAGTTGATATTCTTTATTAATTTTTTTTTTTGTATTAACTGTAGTTGTACTATGTATAAAATTGTACGTGTGATTCACCAACGCCCCCCCTACGAGGGGATGTGCATTTCATGATGATTCCCTACCCTCAATTCAAGGAAACTATATATGTATGATTTCCTCCATTGAATTGGGATCGTATTTCATGGATTATGATCATTTCTGTTCCCTCACCATAAGGAGGGGAAAGGATACCTTAAGGAGGGTATGTGTACACTTCTTGTATATTCTTTTGACGCGCTCTTTGTTATTTATGACTTGCACGTTCTTCCCATTTTGGGAGCTCTTGAGGTTCTCTGGAATACCTCGATGCAAGTTTGATCACTTTCAAGTAACTCACACGGACTCTGAGGAGCGTCAGATGGCAAGTGCCATGACAACGTAGTCACGACACCTGGCCATGCAAGAGCCAGATGACTCCCAATTGGATGAGCATTTTTGCAAAGTTGAGTTGGCAAGTGACACCTCAGCGGGGATGCGACGCCATGCCGCAACGCAGCTACGCTTGATGATTTTGGCCACGAAGGGGGCACTTGATTAGACTCTTCTATAGGTCTAGGTTACATGAATCAACACTTTTGTGACAAGGCTTTAACTATCATTAGTTTGAGATGTGGTTGTACTAGGGAAATGAGTATTGCTTGTTGCTTTACCATTTTAAGCGATATGAATTATCCTATTAGAACCAGATCTCATAGAATCATCCCATTTTAAGTACCATTTTCAATCAAACACAACGTCTTTTAAATCAAACAAAAAACCTTTTATCGTGAGTCTAGCTAGGTTTTTCCAATGATGTAATTGACTACTATGTTACATCATCATCGAATATCTCTTAAACACAAAACAAAATAAATTTGATTTTGTACTTTGGTTTAATCATGATGGTCTTTTTATAGGTTCTTTCTCGTATATTTTATCGGGTTGAGTATAGTTTGATTTATTTTTTTACCGCTTCATTCTTATTTATATTTGAGATCATCTTAAAATGTCTTTGCCGATACTATGCTTGTTTCCTCTTAGTTTTTATCCATTTTTCAGCCTTTCATTTCTTCATTTACTTTTTTAAAGCATGGGCAACCTAGAAAGAGGGATTAAAAAATGAGACGGATGCCAAGAATGCCATACTTTTGATCAGAACAAAATGTGGCCTTGAGTAGATATATAATCAACAAGAATAATTTTTAATTTAATACACTCTTTAATAAAGTAATAATCAACCACAATGTACTTTGCATGAGCATAGAAAAATGATTAACAAATGTATTGTTAAATTGATGTGCTCCTTGAACTTGAAACTTTAAAAATCAAACTAATGATTGTATGATCTCTAATTTCAACGAGCTTATTGTTGAATTGAGATAACTCTAATAAATACTAAATGTTGTCCGATATGAGCTCTAAAGAGTCTAATTTATACACCTAAAAATATGATCATAAAGTTTAAGATATTAATTTAATAATCAAATAATCTTAAAAGCTAGCATATTTATAGTAAAATTGATTGTCTCAAGAAAAAGAATTTAAATAGTCTAAAATCACTAAATCTTGAAGTCATTAAGGAACTCATACTCTATAATTAAAAGATTCAATATGGGCCGCATGATAGAGTTTTATAAAATTTGGACTAATTTATCGAAATTTTACTCCTAAAATATTTTAAATAAACATATATTCTCTAAATGAGGGAACTTGTGCTTGAGTTTAAAAAAAATTTGAAACGCTAGAGAGCTTTGAAGCTCAGCTCAACATCAAATACTAACCACCATCACCGCCAACAATTATTATCGTTTAATCACCATTGCTCGATCATTATCAAGTAATTAACACACGCACAGACACACAGACACATGATATATATATAGATATATATATGTATGTATATATATATATGTATGTATATATATATATATGTATGTATCTATATATATATATGTATATATATGTATGTATATATATATATATATA